GCTCAATCCCTTGAGTCGTTCCCGAGTTATGGCCCGTTGAAATATTGGGGCCATGCTCACTTAAAGGAAGTTAATAGTAGTTTTTATTACTTTAAACTAATCAGAATATGCCAAAGTTTCTCTGGTAAAAATTTGATCAGCATCTAACTGTGCCACATGGGGAAGCAAGGGGCTGAAAAAAGGGGCCAAAAAGATCACACTTGAATCTGTGACCATATTTGGGACTCTACACCATCCACATGAAAGCTCAGAAAAGTGTGAGATTGTTGTCAGAAATGGTCATTCTCTCAAATATTCAGGTTCAACAGTTAGTTTGTAAATATATACTTGGAGTAAATAGATCTTGGACCTCAAAAATTGAAGAAAAAAATGGAGCAGCAACAAAATTTGAAATTTTGGGGGCCCACAGCGCCCCCTTAATAAAGATACACAATATTTGACAACAGATTCAGAATCTATGACCAAGAATCTACAATAATACACATTTTCAGCTTCCTAGCTCTATTTTTGATGAAGTTCTGGTCTCTCAAACATGTTTATAAATTAAGGCTTACAAAAAAATGAGCATGGCCAAAAAGTTTCAATGGGTCATAACTCAGGAACGACTCAAGGGATTGAGCGTTAAAATGTGATATTCTTTCATTTGGCGATTTTAGAATTTTTTTGAAATTTTTTCAGCCAAATCTGAGATGGCTCATATGGGAGATTCCTTGAAAATGGCTGATTTCATACAGACTGACCCATATGAAGAATTAAAAATTTAAAGGGCTTAATAACAGTTATTCTTTCATGTAGTCTTGCACTGACAACACCAAAGGATCATGGTCTATGTAGTTCCCTCTGTTTTTGCTTTTACTGCACCAGGAAAGGAAAGGCAAGTTTTGTATTTGTATCACACAATTCATACACACAAAGTGTTTTACAGAATAAGAAAGTTAACAATTCTGACAAACGTGCAGACTGTATAATTTCACTTATTATCAGAAATGGGATATAAAAAATGAGATTAGATAAGAAATGCTTTATTATCCCAAAACACCGTTGGGCAAGTTACTTTAAAACTGTAATGTGTTATTTATTACTCGTTACTGTCATTTCAAAGTAATTTGTTACATTACAATGTTACTGTATTTAAAATGTAAAACGTTACATTACTATTGCAGCACTTTTAAGTTACTCTCACCAAAATAACTGTGAAGATGCTGAACTTTTGCACCATATATGGACTGAACCAGGACTAACCAAAACTGAACCAGAGCTGAACCCGAACTGAACCAAGTCTAAACCAGGACTAAACCAGAGCTGAACCAGATCTAAACAAGGACTAAACCAGGACCACACGAGGACTAATCTTGGACTAGAACTTGGAATCTAGGACCGCCCCTGAGAGAACCCCGAGCCCGTGGAACAGGGTGTGTGCAAGGCGCAAGTGGGCGTCAGCTGTGTTTAGCTCCGTGGAGCGTGGAGTTCTGCGCCAGCATTTTCCCTCGCGGTCACCTGATGGCCTACACAGGCACGTCTCCGGCGTTTAACCTCTGCTGATATCGCCGTGATTTTAGTGAATTTGTATGAAGAAAAACTCACCAGTTCAATCCAGGTTAAAAAAGCATTGCAACGCGCTTTACTCACATTTGTACTGAGTGAAATATTACAGTTTTTTCCCTGTAATGCCGAACATTACTGTGTTACAGCAAAAAGCAACGCATTACAGTAATTTGTTACTTCTATAACGCGTTACTCCCAACACTGTCCCAAAGAAATTCGTTCAACTTCACAGCCATCACAAATGAACTTTAACCTGCAGACAGAGACACATCTAAGTTTGTCTCATTCTCAGTTTATGTTCAGGTCTCATGTGACGCTCAGAACCACCAGAATTCCCTCCCTGAGCTGCAGAGGCTGCTCTAGCACTGACTCATGACTCGTACAGGTGCCGGGGTTTAGGGAGAGACATTTTAGGTTTAACGGTCTTACATCAGACCTGGGCATTGTCCAGCTCCCACATACAGACCATTGGTTGACTCTGACCAGCGCGTTTAAGCTCATTTGGAATTATAAAATAAACATATTTTATCGTTTGACCTCATGCATGAACTAAAGCTGCATTGCTTTTATTTTAGAGGTGTTTTTTTTTTTTTTATGACAATCTTTGTAAGGCAGACTTACTTTTTCATTGCTTAGTCATAACACAAACTCTTCCCAGTCTGAGCAGATCGTCAAAACAATCATATTTACTGTTTTTGTTTTTTTTGTTTTTTTAATAAAGAAATACAATTCATATTAAGCAGAAATGCCCAGCCTTCCACAATATTTTCACATGTGGCCCCATGGAAAAAAATAATTGCCCACCCCTGTCCTATATTTTGCTAAATCGACCCTTTGGAGCTTCATGTTACAATCAGGTGAGATGTGGGGTCTTAAAAGTTTTCAAAAGGTCTTAAATTTCATGTTCCTAAATTAAGGCCTTAAAAAGTCTTAAATTATGTTGTCCAAGTCTTATTTTTTTCACAAAGGTCTTAAATTTCATTAGCCTATTTTTTATATACTCAACCAGGCTGCAGTGCAAAGTTAAATGGAGGGAGGAAAAAAAACAACGTGAAATCATGTAACGTGAATGAAGGTCTAATTTGAAGTCTGCGCAAACAGTACTTTGGTTTCTGGCGCCGACAGTAGAGTGAAGGAAGATGTTGGATGGATCATGGGGAAGTGTACGTTTAATCCACAGTGACTTTTAGATTCTAAATTTAGTCGTTGTTTGGTCATTATTAGAATTGGGTCTGGTGTTTTTCGCTCGCATAATGGGTGCGATGTTGGTCTTAATTTTCACTGAAGTGGTCTTAAAAAGGTCTTTAAAAAGTCTTAAATTTGGGGTAGTCAAACCTGATAACGTTGTTACCCTCTCAACATCAGACCTGGAGTTGTGTTTTGTTTCATTCACACGTTTGAGTAACACTTTATTATTAACCTCAATTTATGATCATGCGTCAAATAATGTGCGTCACGATGCAGTCTGCTTTACCTTGAACCCATAGACTGAATGAAAGAAGTTTTCTAAGTGAGTGTAACGTCACCCACAGTGTTCAGCGTCGCTCAAACGAGGCTCACGATGCTCATGGTTACAGGAGAGAATCTGGAGCCAGACTCTATGTTATGAATAGGATTTTTTTGACAGACAAAATAGACAAAAAATAATAATAAATCAGGATCATCTAGAGCGAGTTAATACAAACATTTTAAGACCAAAATGACAAGGCGGAGAGAGAGAGCCACAAGATCCTAATGTAAGTCAGTACATGCATTACGAATCTCAGACTTCCGGTCATTGCGCAATCCATACTGGGAAGAATCCTCCGAAGAAGTGAGCATCAAACCACCATGTTAGATTTCCCAGTGGGATGCGTCTATTATTAAAGTCGATCTTTTAGTTTTTTGAACCATATCACTTTTATTTCTGGTTCTGATATTGTCATATTTTAGTTTTGGGATTCAGATGGAGCTCCACATACAAAATGTTTGCTGCAAACTAGGGATTGATTTCTTAGAGGCAGTCAAATGTTTCCTTTTTGGTCCTTCCTGTGGATCAATCCTGCCCATCGCCTTCATCTTTCACTATTTTTCAATTCCGTTGGGAAGAGAAACAGTTTGAACAGAGGTTTGCAGTCACACACATCTGATTCCCTTTTGCAGTAACGGAGTTCATAAATTTCCGAAGCCTGTTTCTCGAGACGTTTTCTGCTGTTAGGATCCAACAACCACACAATTAACGATGTCTGAATCCCAAAACTAAAATATGACAATATCAGAACCAGAAACAAAAGTGATATGGTTCAAAAGAGTAGAAAAGATCGACTTGATGACAATAGACACATCCCACTGGGAAAACAAACATGGTGGTTTGATGCTCACTTTTTCGGAGGATCCTTCTCAGTATGCATTGCGCAATGACCGGAAGTCCGAAATTTGTGATGCATGTATTGGAGTCGGGGTCACGACGACGTCAACCACAGCGAGCGTGCTCTGTGTTTATGGAAGTTGTCCAAACATGGACGCAGCATTGAGCACCTGGAGATTTTAAGTTCCTCTCGTACTGGGGCCAGAACATGAACAACTTACTTGTTTTAAGGAGGAGATTGAGAAGGACGAGGTTTTTGGCCGTGGTGTTTTGTGGGACAGTCGGTTGAAAGGAACGTGTGGATGTGGAGACGGAGCCAAGAGTGGTGAGTGGTGATGTGCTTCACTTCAGTGACACGGAGTTCATTAACAATTTTTGCCTACTTCAGCGCAGAATAGTGACGTTTGTGGCTTGTTGATAACATGTAGGTGGATGAATGCGCTTTCAGACTGCAGTCGCATGTCAAAAGATCGGATATGTATCGGTTTCAGGACCACATATCGAAGTGGCCTGGGTCACATTTGAAAAAATTGGATCTGTGTCGTTCAGACTGTCATTAAAAGATCAGATACAGGTCACATAGGGGCCAAAAAATCAGATTTGGGTCACTTCAGGCTGCAGTCTGAACGTAGCCATAGACCTCGACACAGACCCATAAATCAAAAACGACGGCGACAAAGGCAAAGGCGGCAGTGTGAGTTGAGTCGATGCAGAAATATATTTGGCCTTTAGTCTGTCTATATGTCCAAAGTTCTAAATGCTCTGTTCCACCTTGTGATGTCAGCTTTAGTTCAGTAGAGATTGGCAATTCCAGGTCTGAAATTATCTAAATGATTCTAGTGAAGGTGTGTGTTTTCTGTTTGAGAGAAGAACTTAGTCTAAATGTGCAGGGTCTGTGTGTTAAACATGAATGAAATAAACACAACTCCAGGTCTGTTTGTGACAAGGAAACAACATTAGAATATAGATCAGACAATAGCGTCATACGGGCCCTTTAAAGAACCCACAGCTCGACCGTTTGGACCACTCTCCTCACGTGAACTTCCTTCGGGATCAATAAAGTCTGTCTGTGTTAGTGTTGTGGCTAGAGCTGATAGAAATGGTGTACCTCTTGTTGAAGATGACCCCCAGGAGCTGTCCAGCGAAGGCAAAGGTCACGCACACGACCAGGGCCTTCCACAACCACAGGGGCCCCCAGCGCGTACACACCATCCACCGCACCATCCTGCACAGAACAGACACGTGTGAGGAGTTCAACCCACAACCACAAGCACAGTAAAGAGAACTAACTGTCCCTGTGTGTCCATGGGCTCTCATTCTGTGTAAAAACATTTTTTGTGTGTCTGTGTAAAGGCTGTAAAACCCTGTAGTTACAAACATGTTCTGAGACACATGGGACTCGTGGATTAGTTCAGCAGTTCAGATTTCAGTCTCTTCACAAGTGTTTTCACGAGGTTATTGTTCCTGATGTGGCTCAAATGTGCTTTAACTAAGCATCACTTTAACAAATGTGTACTGTGAAATCAGCATCATTAAAAACAACAACAACACAGCAGTATTATAACTACCACACAGCACTAATAACACATTTCAGAGTATGAGACTTTCTTGTGCCTCTCTGGCCGTTGGTTTGCTCTGGTCTGTGGCAGTGGGCGTGTGCTCGCTGTATCTGGGGACCCATCTGGGGTCTAAAGGTTCAGGTTTCAGGTGCTGTTCTGCAGAGTTGAGGCTGATGAGGAAACCAGACCCCAGACCAAACCAGACACACACAGGCAGAACATGCAAACTCCACACACGCTATGGTCAGGGAATCAAACCTTGGACCTGCTTGTTGAGGTCCGAGTGCTGACCACTGTGCCCCTCCGAGTCACGCAAAACAAAACATGTTTAGAGGCTCCGCGCGCAGCCCGTGGATAACTGATACATCAGAGTAAATATCGGCTTTGGGGCGCTCTTGTTCTTGTGTGTTTTTCTAGTTTTCTCGCCCACTCCGTGCGCTCTGATGCCGGAGCGGCGCGCGGCGCACTGCGGTCCGTGGTGCTTTGTGTGGCGGCGGCACATGTAGCACTAGCCGCTACACGTCCGTCTCTCCATCACCCCTCTCCCCGCGCTGTGATTTATGTTCCTGCGGTCTCCAGCGGCACATACGGCGCTCGGCTGCACGTTAAACCGAGACAATAGACGCGCACGCCTTCTTCTTGTAAACACACGCACGGACACAGAGGCCTGCGCGGTGGTCAGGAGCCCCCCACCCACGTCTCTCTGTTTTCTCCTCAGACTACAGAGTGAGCCGGGCCCGGGGCAGGCTCCTCCGCTCCGGCCCAGCGCACACGGCTCCTGCGGGGGACTGTACCTGGCTCTCCGTCTGAAAGGCATCGCTGATTCGGGCCCCGCTCTGTATCGTCGTGATGGTCCGGAGAGCCGTGAGCATCTCGAGCCTGTGGGTGCAGTTCGCCTCGGCGGCTCGGCTCAGGCTCGCGCCTGGACAGCTGTGCAGCGTTTCCGTTCCAAGCTCCAGACACGCGCCTCTGTGACCCCCCTGCGGACCCCGAGCAGCCGGCCCCAGAGCGTCACAGTCCCGCAGGGCGGAGGAGCCAGTCCCGCTGATTGCACCGCACTGTCCGAGTGAGCCCACCGCAGAAAGCACCGAGAAGCAGATTATGCACCGCACATCCGGGCACCTTCACAATAAAAGCAAACCCACTGGCCGCTCGCCTCAAGTTTCTCTGTTAATATTAGGCCCACACGATCTGAAACGTGCCTAAACAGGCCAGAGCCGCGCCTTCACATCACAGCAAGCACCGGCTCACGCTGCAAAAATCACTCAACAGACTGAGACATGAACCCACCAGACTCCACAGACTGAGACATGAACCCACCAGAGTCCACAGACCGAGACATGGACCCACCAGACCACAGACCGACATGGACCACACAGAGTCCACAGACCGAGACATGGACCCACCAGAGTCCACAGACCGAGACATCCACAGACCGAGACATGGACCCACCAGAGTCCACAGACCGAGACATGGACCCACCAGAGTCCACAGACCGAGACATGGACCCACCAGAGTCCACAGACCGAGACATGGACCCACCAGAGTCCACAGACCGAGACATGGACCCACCAGAGTCCACAGACCGAGACATGGACCCACCAGAGTCCACAGACCGAGACATGGACCCACCAGAGTCCACAGACTGAGACCCAATGATCCATGACTCAATGATTCGCAAGGTCAGGAACTAAACATGACCCTCGTCTGGACCGGGCCACTTCCTGCAGTTACTGACAGGACTTTCAGCTCTCTTATGGGATCTGAATCTTTTGGCTCCTTTCAATTCAAAGAGCCGTAAAGGTTCCCACTCTTTTTCACTGATAAAATTTCCAAACTTTTCCATGACTTTACAGCACCTACATGTGTAGAACTGATCAGACTTTTAGGTCCGAATCTGAAATATTAACTCTTTCCACTCACATTATGGTTTTGGATTATAGTTTTTAACATTCAAAATCCTCTCAGTGCATTTATTGTCTTCTCTTTTACACAAAAGGCACAGACGTTCAGCCTCATGAGAACTTAACAGAACGCTGGAGATGCGTGAAAGAGATAATAAAATTTCATGACTTTTCTAAAACTTTCATTGAATTTTCAAATTTCCATCACCTTTCCAGGATTTGCATGACCGTGGGAACCCTGAGACTGGCTCGTTTTATATTTATTGATATGACAAAAGCCATTGTGAGAACTCGTTTGAACAAACTAATCCCAGAGAGAGATGAGATTCAAATGTTTCAAACTGAGAGGAGGAGTGTTTCTGTGAAATTTAAATAGAATGTTGCACTAATAACTCACAAAAATGAACTAACAAAAAGATGCTAAGTGTGGGTTTTTTTGCGTATAGATCTCTTCTTTGTGTGTCTGTGCTGATTCTTGTGTTGGTTCAGCCTTAGTCAGTGTAAAAATCCCCAAACATTTGAAATAAAAAGATTTGGTTCTTTCAGTCATTGGTTCCAAAAAGAGCCGACTCATTCACGAATGTCACATCAACTGCAGCAGTCAGTCAGTTGCAGAAGTTGAGGTTTTCCGTCGCGTGTGTGTTGTGAAGTGAAGGCCGTGCTCGCTGCTCCACCACCAGTGTTGGGAAGGTGACTTTTAAATTGTATTCCCCTACAGATTACAGATTACATAAACAAAAATGCAGGTTGTAAGGTAATCCATTAAATTACTTAAAGTGAGTAATGCAATCTGATTACTTTGGATTACTTGATTTGCTGTAGAGAAGCAAAGACGAGGAAATCATAACATAAGAAGTTTTGTCTGATAAAAGAAAATAAAAATCCCAGACTTTACTTAACCAAATTAAAAATATTATTTATAGAATAGGAGGAGACACGTCCACACAGCATGATTTAGTCCTGTTAAATCTTGTTTTAGACCTGGTTTAGTCCTGGTTTTAGACCTGGTTTAGACCTGGTTTAGACCTAGTTTAGACCTGGTTTTAGACCTGGTTTTAGACCTAGTTTAGACCTGGTTTAGACCTAGTTTAGACCTGGTTTTAAACCTGGTTTTAGACCTATTTTAGACCTGGTTTAGTCCTGGTTTAGACCTGGTTTTATACCTGGTTTATACCTGGTTTTAGCCCTAGTTTAGACCTGGTTTAGTCCTGGTTTAGACCTGGTTTTAGACCTGGTTTATACCTGGTTTTATACCTGGTTTTAGACCTAGTTTAGACCTGGTTTAGACCTGGTTTTAGACCTGGTTTTAGACCTATTTTATACCTGGTTTTATACCTGGTTTTATACCTAGTTTAGACCTAGTTTAGACCTGGTTTTATACCTGGTTTTAGACCTAGTTTAGACCTGGTTTAGACCTGGTTTTAGACCTGGTTTAGACCTGGTTTAGACTTAGTTTAGACCTGGTTTTAGACCTGGTTTTAGACCTAGTTTAGACCTGGTTTAGACCTAGTTTAGACCTGGTTTTAAACCTGGTTTTAGACCTATTTTAGACCTGGTTTAGTCCTGGTTTAGACCTGGTTTTAGACCTGGTTTATACCTGGTTTTAGCCCTAGTTTAGACCTGGTTTAGTCCTGGTTTAGACCTGGTTTTAGACCTGGTTTATACCTGGTTTTATACCTGGTTTTAGACCTAGTTTAGACCTGGTTTAGACCTGGTTTTAGACCTGGTTTTAGACCTATTTTATACCTGGTTTTATACCTGGTTTTATACCTAGTTTAGACCTGGTTTTATACCTGGTTTTACCTAGTTTAGACCTGGTTTTATACCTGGTTTTAGCCCTAGTTTAGACCTGGTTTAGTCCTGGTTTAGACCTGGTTTCAGACCTGGTTTATACCTGGTTTTATACCTGTTTTAGACCTAGTTTAGACCTGGTTTAGACCTAGTTTAGACCTAGTTTAGACCTGGTTTTAGACCAGGTTTTAGACCTATTTTATACCTGGTTTTATACCTGGTTTTAGACCTAGTTTAGACCTGGTTTAGACCTAGTTTAGACCTGGTTTTAGACCTATTTTAGACCTGGTTTAGTCCTGGTTTAGACCTGGTTTATACCTGGTTTTATACCTGATCTTAGACCTAGTTTAGACCTGGTTTAAACCTAGTTTAGACCTGGTTTTAGACCTGGTTTTAGACCTGGTTTTTGACCTATTTTAGACCTGGTTTAGACCTGGTTTAGACCTGGTTTAGACTATAGCCCAAAATGTGAAAACAGGAAAATACCACCATGTAATCCACTTATTTCAACAAAGTAACTGTAATCCAATTACCACTCACTGAAACAGTAACTGTAACTGAATACAGTTACTCATAATTTGTACTCTGATTACGTAACTCCGGTATATGTAATCTGTTACTCCCCAACACTGTCCACCACAGCTCGCTCAGACGGTTTCAGGTCTGTATCTGACACACACTCGTTCATATTCAGATGCTGTCATATTTCATCCGTTTCATCTTATTTGATTTTTGACACACACGTTTTTTTTTTCTTGTGAGTTTTAAGTCATGTTCTAATGTTGTTCCCGCTTCAAAAACAAAAACAGACCTGGAGTTGTGCTTTGTTTCATTCACACATGTTTAGGTCAGTCAAGATCGACAACACACGCATCAAGAATGCATGCGCAATGCATACTGGGAAGGATTTTCAGAAAAACTGCTATGTTTGTTTTCCCAGTGGGATGCATCTGTTGACAAAGTCGATCTTTTCTAGTCTTTTGAACCATATCACTTTTGTTTCTGGTTCTGATATCATATTTTAGTTTTGGGATTCAGACATTGTAATTGTGTGGTTGTTTGATCCTAACAGCGGAAAACGGCTCGAGAAATTTGTTTGCAAACTTCATAAATACAAAAGGGAATCAGATGTGTGTGACTGCAAACCTCTGTTCAAACTGTTTCCCTTCCCAACGGAATTGAAAAATAGTGAAAGGTGAAGGTGATGGGCAGGATTGATCCACAGGAAGGACCAAAAAGGAAACATTTGACTGCCTAAATCATCCCGAGTTTGCAGTGAACATTTTGAGCTCCGTCTGTTTGTCTGTCTTCCCGCTTTGATGACTCCACATACAAAATGTTCACTGCAAACTCGGTGAAAGTTTGCAAACAAATTTCTCGAGCCGTTTTCCACTGTTAAGATCCAACAACCACACAATTACGATGTCCAAATCCCAAAACTAAAATATGACAATATCAGAACCAGAAACAAAAGTGATATGGTTCAAAAGACTAGAAAAGATCGGCTTTGTCAACAGATGCATCCCACTGGGAAAACAAACATGACGGTTTGATGCTCACTTTTTTGGAAAATCCTTCCCAGTATGAATTGCACATACATCCCGAAATTTGGGATGATTCAATTCCAGGGCTGATGATTCTAATGAAGGTGTTTGGAGTTTAAAAACACAGTGGATCACTTCCTGTATTACTACATGACATCACAAGGTGGAACGGAGTGTTTTACAGGGTTTGTGTAAAACAAAACAAAACAAAACACAACTCCAGGTCAGAAACGACATTAGAACAAAGCTCAGAAAAATCTAGTGGAATATGGAACCTTCTCTCTCAACGGGGAAAACGCAGTGTCAAGAATATCAAGAAAATAAAAGTAAGACTTAAAAAAGATAAAAATCTATAAATCAAAATAAGTGAAAAGTAAATAAAATGTTTTCAAAATCTAGGGGGAAAAAAATGAAAACAAAAATCATTCAATCCCAAAAAATCTTGATTTAAAAAAAAAAAGAAGGAAAAAAATTCTCTGTGATTCTCTAAAACACATTAAACATGATTAGATTTCAGATTAAATAATAACAAAATAAATAAAAAAGCATCCTGGTTAGATACAGGTCTGACATGTCGGTATGAAGCAAGCATGACTAACACTGCAAAAAACAACATGATCTACAAATGGAACTAGTGTGTTTCTCTTCATTCAAGTCACATTCGATTCTGTTTCTTATTTTATGTGCAAACCCGTGTCGTTTTTCTTATCTTAACTGTAGTCGTATGTATTTTCATATTTTAACTATAACAAGTCGGATGTCTGATGTCAGCCGGGCCGGGGCAGGACTTGGAT